GTGAAAAACTAGATTTTATCAGTAATAAATAATACCTCAGACTAAGTTAGGATAATATAATTGACATTGCTGGATTCCTTGTAAGACCAAGAATATTTTGAATATACACTTCATATATTTTTACAAAAGATAGCATATTTGCTCTGAGTAAACAAAATACTTGCATTAGATCCAAAATTTATGTCTAATAAAATCTATGATGCTTATATTCAAAATGATCATCAAATTGTAAGAATTCCAGCAATGTAAATTATATTCTGGCCAGATAATTTGTATGAATTTTATGAGCTAAATAAAAAAATTATACTACACCCGCGTAAAGGGGTACACCACCGCGGAATGTGAGCACACGGGTTCTGGCAGGGTACCGAGTAAACGTGGAAACGTGGAATGTGGGACTGCGTAAAGTGAGGGTTGACTGTACTAATTAGTATCAAAGTGTAAAATGTGGGAAAATAATGCTATTCAGAAATATATTTTATTGCTGCAGGATGATTTATAACTGGAGAACCAAATGTAGAAGATTATGATTATTTGTATTGCTGATACCGGTGAGTATTTTTCATGCCTAATAACATTCACTATAAAGTGTTTTCGGCAATGTTGTATATTTCTCAAAAATATAATTTTTCCAAATTTTACGCATTTATACTAATTAAGTTATACAATACATTATACAAGAAATCTATTCTCAGACACTCTCTGATAATAAATTTTAAATAACTACTAAAAAAGCATATCTATCAACTCTTTCCCATACTGAAGGAAAATATTTCAATATATGTATAGTACAACCTCGATAAATCTGACTTCAATACAGTAAAGCCTCGAGTAACGACGGTAATGTGTCTTCCAATATTGCAGTGTAAGGTGAATCATCATATCACGAATCATTAATTACCATTAAATAAAGCAATAATAATGAGATGCATTCCCAAGTGTGACCTTTTCATATCTTTTGTGTGGCTTTTTACCCTCTTACCCCCAAACAATAAAATTACTGTCATGAAAATTGCAAACTATATTCTTTAAATAATGTTTCTGAATGCACCTTATATAATATAAATGAATAATAATTAGGTCACATAAGAGATGGGATGCCATTGTTTTCGTTTGTGGTTGCAGCCGGGAGTCCGGGACGAAAGTTGTACGAGAAAATGAAGAAAATAAGACTCTGGTTGTAGCTGTAGTAAAATTAATGTAAAAAAAAATATATATGTTATAAGTAATGTTATTTAATGTTAATACATGGAACAATAGAAGTAGCTAACCACTAATGGCAAGAAAAAAGTGAGATGGATTGGGAGCGTATACGTGCGCATTTAAGGATACTGCGTCATTTATCTTAAGAATATGTACAAAAGATTCAATATTGCTTATTACTGAATATACATTTGATTGAATTAATCTTTTCATATCTTGAAATGAACAATATAATTCATTAATAATATGTAGAATATTAAAACACACAAGAGGATAAGAGACGGCATTGTTGTTAGTGTTTACACCCATAATGTCAGTTATCCACCTGAAACTGAAGAAAATAAGACCCTGGTTGTTGTTGTAGTAAAATTAATGTAAAAAATATTTATGTTTTAATTAATGTTATTTAATGTTAATAAATGGAACACTAGAAGTAGCTAACCACTAATGGTAAATAAATAAAGCGAGGCAGTTAGAGCATAGCGTATTACAGTAAGTGCTTACATGAAAACATATCATTTCTCACATATGAATATGAAAGCAACACTTATTTACTCTTCATATATGTTTTAAATAATACTTATGAATGTAAAACAAAAATTCTACTCACCAATGGTGGTAAAGTCTAAAACATAAGGACAGCCAAGGAATATTGTGGGAGTTTTTACTCAGATGGCAGTCATCAGGTTCAACTCTGGCTGAAGCTGTAGGTTCAACTCTGGCTGAAGCTGTAGCTCTCCATAAAGCTGTTGCTAAAGCTGTTATTACTGAACCTGAAGTTGTTGATGAAGCTGCTTCGAATAATAAAGCTGTCGAAAGAACCTTGCACAGCTTTTCTTTCTCATTATACATCTTTATGTAGAGGTCATTGGCGTGTATTAAAATTTTAATGCTTTGTTCTGTTAATGGATCCACTTCAGAAAATATGTTCATTGCTTGCTCCATATAATATCCACAGACCTCTCATCTTTTTCATATCGTTTTAACACATCTAGTTTCTCGGCTAAGCTTATACACTTTCTTTTAGCTTTTGAAACAACAATACCATCACTTCCTCTCTTGCTCATGTTGAATAGGGATGCAAAAATGCTGTAAGAAACCTGAGAAAAATTTTCTCCTTTTCCTGTTCAGATGTGTGAAAACAAAGGGCCTACCAGCTGCGATTGTTTGTACTAGAGATGCCAGGCGTCACCACTAGCAAGCCCGGCAGCCTCCCCGTAATCAGGGCTTTTTATAAAATCAGGATTTAGTTATTAATTATACTAAAATGTAATATATTTTTTTAATTTCGTTGCTAATCTGAAGAAAATAATGGCGTAAATTGAATTGGGTACTAAATTAACCAGGGTCTTAGATATGAATTTTTGTTAGTTGAACCGTCATTATCAAAGGCTTTACTGTACTCCGAAATTAAACTGATCGGACTCCTGTTTTAAAGAAATGGGGAAGATTAATAAATAAATCTTATCAAATGAACCACACTTACTGAATACTGTACAGTGGTGTACAGTGATCCCTCGGTTAACTTGCGCCTCGGTTAACGAGATTTCGGTTAACGAGTTACCTTCCATAAGATTCTTAACTTCGGTTAACGAGCAATCCCTCGATTAACGAGTTTTTATGGCGGACCTCAACATGTTTTCGCTTGCATTTGGCGGTCCACCAGCGGTAGTATTAGTCCGCCAATACAGTATCGGTTCTAGGGCTTAAATTCCTTACTATTTTAGTAACAAAGAAGTTTATACTATTCAATAATTTTAAAAGTTTAATATTAAAAATTTTTAGTCATTTTAACAATTATTGAACATAATTGAAGGTAAGGAAAATAGTTTCATGCACGCCATCCAGCCTGGCAACACACCAAACCGGTACCAGTCTCTCTCTGTCTTTTTGGTGGAAGTAACATCTTGCTTAGCTCTCTTCAACTAAATGCTTTTTTTCTGTGTTTGCAAGCAAATTATTGGTCATTTTGAAATTTATTGTACATATTGACAATATATAATGCAGTGCAGTGTTGATTTAAAGAAAATAATCTTGAATTACACCAAGAGAACTAAAATGCTTTTGGGTGCATGTGTGGGTGAATTCTCTTCCACCCCAATGCCTTCTCTCCTCCCTTCTCCTCCACCCCCATTCTAATTCTCATCATCATCATCATCATCATCATCATCATCATCCAGGAGCCTTCTACATACACACCTCAAAGTAGGTGTACTTTTCTACCATTTTTGTTGAATTTAGGCAATTTTCGGTGAGCTGGAACCAATTACCCAAAAACCCATTGAAACAATGGTATCGGATAACGAGTTTTTCGGTTGACGAGCAACCTGCTGGAACGGATTGTGCTCGTTAACC